TTACATACTTCGTACTTAATCACCGTCAAACGCTGTAGTTTACATCAACACAAGATTACGAGTAACTAGAGATGGCGTCTGAACTTTGCAGATTTTCTTTAACAATTTCACGCCTTTCATTCACACGAAACACGTTTAAGCAGCTTGAAGCTTTTTTTTAAGAACCTTCCAGATGATTGACTTATTACAAACGTTCTCGTATGTAACGCGTAAATATGAAATGTTAAATTGTCGGATTTTGTAACAGAACGTTCAAGCGATCGATTCTTTTAAAAGTTTAGAAGTTGCAATTTATTGGTTAGAAACGCATTGGGAAATGCACACAAGAAACGGTGTATGTATAGTTTGATTAATCGAATGTTCGCTTTCCAACAGAAGATTGGTTTTAATCTCTGATCTCTTCAAATAATCTGATATCACACGGCCTAATAGTACTAGCACAAATAAAACTATTATTTGACATTCCACAACGAATGTCTGATGTCACCAATACAAGCCCTGGCAAAAAGTATTCAGTCCACCTTTTGAAATGCATTAACTTTTTTCAAACTTCGCTAAATGACTTGAATTTCTTTTAAGTGTTAAAGGTATTAGTTTGCTGTGCGATGACTAAAATACTTCTCGCTAATTTTCCTATTACTTGGAATGAGGCAAAAAAAAGTAATACTTGCTTTTTAACTTTTTTATTTGGACTTGGAACGAAAATTTCAAAAATGCGATTCGTAGATCTTTCATCGAAATTTCATCGAAATTGGTAAACGTTTTTACGAGCAACAAGCAATTGAAGATTGTGAAAATCGCAGTTTCTTTAACGAATTTCAACCACAAAAACAGGTTTCAACTCTTTGGGACACAGGGTTTCACAAAATAAAATAGACCCACGTTGCACAGAAATTTTATTGCGTTTTAAATTAAACAATATTAGTATATTTTTATATTTCTTTAATTTTATTATATATTATTATATTTTTATATTCAATTCAATTTGTTATAGGATTGGACCTCAAATGCGATTGCAATATTTATTGCAATATTTCGAGGTGGGTTTAAAAATGTTCAACCCCGCTTTTTTTATCCCACCGTGTCCCAAAGAGTTAAAAGATGATCGAATACTTTTTGCCAGGAATCGTAGAAAATACCAACGTGTCCTAAAAATTTCTGGAAGATTCTCGTTCGCAGCTATCTCTTTTGCAGCTATCTATAGAAGATCGTAGGATGCGGTTGTCAATATTTTCGACACGGTCCGACCCGGTTTTCGTGATAAAAATGGGCACCGACTTCGGATAGGATGCGCCGCGCGAGTCCCGGTTTCATCGCCGACAATAAATACTTTAGATGCCGTATGCTGTCAGAGGCGTAGGATGATGTTTGCAAAGTATAAATCGGCCGGCCGGTACGCGAATAGGTAATTTTCTAGTCACGTGTGAAAGTACCTTAGGAATCCAGTGCCCGAGCCGGTCCCCTGACCTTTGCTGCCGTTGGTTCTCGGTTGCTCGGCCGAGTCGGCCGAGAGAGTCACGAGAATGGTACAGCAGGCGATCCTAATGGCTCTCGCGAATCGTGGATGCGGGACGAGCCACAGGCATTACTGTAATTTCAATCCAGCTTAATAGATATGAAGGATGTAACTTTGTTTAGACAAGCAGCTCGTACCCTTGAATCCCTTCGCAGCTTGCGGAGCTTTTTGCAAACATTCCGTGCTACGTTCGGGTACAATTGCCTTGGGTGACGCATGTTTTATTAGGAAATCACGTGTCTAGACTGAGAACATTTATATTTTTTTTATATTACATTTATACACATTTATATACATTTATATACATTTATATTATATTTATATACATTTATATTATATTTACACACATTTATATGCATTTATATTATATTTATACACATTTATATGCATTTATATTATATTTATACATATTTATATGCATTTATATTACATTTATACACATTTATATACATTTATACTATATTTATACACATTTATATACATTTATATTATATTTATACACATTTATATACATTCATATTATATTTATACACATTTATATACATTCATATACATTTATATTATGTTTATACACATTTATATACATTTATATTATATTTATACATAATTATATAAATTTATTTTATTTATTTTATTTACATTCATTTTATTTATACACATTTACATACATTTGTATTATATTTATACACATTTATATACATTTATATTATATTTATTCACATTTATATATATTTATATTATATTTATACATATTTATACACATTTATATACATTTACATTATATTTATACACATTTATATACATTCATATACATTTACATTATATTTATACACATTTATATACATTTATATTATATTTATATATCAATTTGATGCGCAATTTGGAACCGAGATACGCACTGTTTCCAAAGCGACAGATTCTCGAAACGTGGCTCGTTCGTTCACGAAGGTCGCGCACTTCGCAAAATGTGCCTGTTCAAGAGATTTAATTGGCTTGAGAACATTCGTGCACGAAAACAAAGCTGCTAGTACACGGCCAATTACGAAAGAAAAATTCATCGTCGTGTCACTTAATAGTTCTGTAATGGAGATAAGTTGGAGTTTCATATTAAATGTTCATCTCAGCATTTCTTTCGGACATGCTACATTTACTTCTTCATTTACTTTTTAGAAAGTATATAATTGCTTTATTTCTAATATCTCTATCCCCCTTTTTTGTGACGTTCTTCATTTATTACCACGTACAGTAAATTCTCCGTAATTGACCGTCAGCTTGGAAACAAAAATGGACGATTCGCGGCTCGTTTTTATAGTTGTTGACAATCGGTAATTATAATATAAATACGAGCCGCAAGGCTCGAATAATTGTATCTTCTCTTCCCAAATTGTCCATTTTCAATTAAGAAGAATTTACTATTTCTTAAAAAGCCACCAATTAAATTATAATATCCTTTCTACGTTTTATAAATTCATAAATAATTGAAAACTTGGGATTGTGTGCGAACGTTTCGTTTAGTATATTACATGATTTGGTCGTTAACTACCACGAGAAATCATACTCGAATTAGTTCAAAGATTTTCTAATTACTCGTATTATTTATGCCAAAACGTAGTTTAATACTCTGAACAATATTTTTAAATATTATTTCTCCGAGATATATAAGAGAGAGAATGAACGACTCCAGTTCTGACGTAACTTACGAAGAATTTGAAACACAGAATATTTGGCACGATTCCCCGGCGAACACAGCGCTACGTGACCATCCATTTTACACACTTCACGCATGTAACGTCGGCTCGCTAGCAGCAAGTCGACGCGCGACGACCGGGATACTCCACGATTTAATCCCGAGGCTCGTCTTCAATAAGGTCAAGACCTGGTTACATACCCTCGATCGTCTTCGTTCCCAATCGGTTTTCACAGAAAGTCGTGAATGCCGACGGCGAACACAATAACCCGCGTAAACGTGATCCATCGATCCGTTTTCACCTTCTTTTTGCATCTACACGATTAATCATCGAGTGCTTTGCAAGAGTCTTTTTGTATTTTGATGCATAGTCGAAGTTCTTGGCGTCCATAGCGATCGACTTAAATTATTATTTATTTGTCAGTGATAAAGGTTTAGAATTATCTTTTAACATTAAATTTAGTGTTAGCGATAAGGTTTAGAATTATTTTTTTAATGCTAAATTTAGTGTCAGTGTCAGTGTTAAAAAATAATTATAAACCTTTATCACTGGTAAATAAGTAATAATTTTAGTTGATCGCTAGACGCCAAGAACTTCGACTGACACACTGACACTGACACTAAATTTAGCATTAAAAAAATAATTCTAAACCTTATCGCTAACACTAAATTTAATGTTAAAAAATAATTCTAAACCTTTATCGCTGACACTAAATTTGTGTTAAAAAATAATTCTAAACGTTTACCACTGACACTAAATTTAGTGTTAAAAAAATGTCAAATAATGGTTAAATTATTCTTTAATTAATTTAATTATTATTATAGGTTAATATTATTATTTATATTATTATATTATTATGTTATATTAGTATAGGTTAATTATTCTTTAAGAAGTGCTAATCAACGTAGCTATGAAAGAAATCCTAGTGCCAAAGGTTTATATTATTTTATTACTTTATTTTCTCTTTTATTTTCAATCTATAAATCTTAAATAGATACATCGTATTTATCATTGTTGTAATAGACATAACGGCACCATTCGGCTACCCTAATTGGATCACTTAAAAAAGTGCTTAGCTATCGGCCATTTTGAATGCTACATAACCTATGCACCCCAGCGTTTATACTCGCCAACTCCATAAATTAAAGCGCGCCGTGAAAATAAACCGTAAAATCGTTTAAATCAATTATACTTTGTTCCAAGCCTCTCCCAAAGAGTCTCTTATAAATAACAAAAAAAGTCTCTTAAATAACTCGCAATAACAGTAAATTATTATTATACGACCGCGACATCGTCCGCGCGCGCATAAAAGAACCGTATCACGCCCGAGCGACGCGCTGAACTCGCCGAGGAAAATTTTCATACACGAACAAATGACCCGAATTACGTTCCAGCGGCCTACATCACCGGTGCACCGACTCACCTATGATCGTGAACCATTACCATCATTACGGCGCACCTCGGTGCCCCGCAAAAACCGACCACCACGAAGGTCGAACGAGCGGTCGCGTTCGCAACGCCTGCAATCCGAAGACGTTAAAGCCTTGGTGTCTTGTTTTCTGCGCAGGATGACGAGCCGCCGGAAATCACGTATTGCGTTGTGGAGCACACGGGCACGCTCACGCTTCAAGCGATGACGCCGACCCTGCCGATGCCGGCCGAGGAGGAGCTGAACAAGATGTTCCTCGAATTGGTCGACGAGCTGGACCTGACCCAGGCCAACCGGCAGGCGGTTCTGGCGCTTTCGGCGAACAAAAAGTGGCAGATATACTGTTCCAGAAAAGGCAATGGGACGCTGGAGAACGGCGGCCTGAGGACCACCGATCTCAGCGGCGATCCCGAGGACTATATCAATAGATTGAGGACGGTAGCTAGCGTAAGTATCGCGGTAGGGTGTCATTTTTTTAACCCTTAGCGCTCCGTTGGCTCCGCTATACAGGATGTCCCAAAAATGCCTCGCAATCCGAAAGTGGCGGGTTCCTCGGGTCATTCGAAGCAACTTTTTCCTTTACAAAAATGTTCTCCGAGGCACCGTTAACGAGTTATTAACGAAAAACAGTGACCAATGAGAGGCGAGCTCGGCTGGCGCGAGGCGACCGAGCCAACGAGTGGAACTGGGCCTGTCTCTTATACACATCTAGATGTGTATAAGAGACAGGCCCAGTTCCACTCGTTGGCTCGGTCGCCTCGCGCCAGCCGAGCTCGCCTCTCATTGGTCACTGTTTTTCGTTAATAACTCGTTAACGGTGCCTCGAAGAACATTTTTGTAAAGGAAGAAGTTGCTTCAAGTGATCTGAGGAACCCGCCATTTCCAGATTACGAGACATTTTTTGGACACTCTGTAGAGAGACATCCGTCATTTGTTCCGTAAATCCGAAGGCACTGACGCGGAGCCCAATGTTTTTAGCATGATTACACCGAAGATGCTGTGTTTTTGTCGACGTTCACAATTGTTATTTGTAGAGAAAACTTGCTTAGCGTAAAGTCTCCCTTACTGACGCTCAGATTGTCCACTAAAATAGATAATTTGGGAAGAGGAGGTACGATTATTCGAGCATTGCGATTTATTTTTATAGTTATAAATTGTCCACAATTATTTAAGGCTCGAATAATCGTATTTCCTCTTCCCAAATTATCCATTTTAGTGGACAATCTAAGCGTCAGTAAGGGAGACATTACTGTAGTTCGCTTGTACAGTAATGTCTCTCTAATTGACGCTCAGATCCTCCACAAAAATGGTCAATTTAGGGAGAAAAGAGACGATTACTCGATCCTTGCGACACATTTTTATAGTCACGAATTGTCAACAACTATAAAAACGTGCCGCAAGGCTCGAATAATCGTATCTCCTCTTCCCAAATTATCCATTTTAGTGGACAATCTGAGCGTCAGTAAGGGAGACATTACTGTAGTTTGCGGAGCAATTTCAAATATCAGATAAACAGCAGACAGATTTATCTCCAGTTTTATTATAATGGCAGCTGTTCGTTTTATAATCGATTTTATAATTATGGACAATTTATAACTATAAAAATAAACCGCAAGGTTCGAATAATCGTATCTCCTCTTCCCAAATTGTCCATTTTTGTGCACAATCTATCGCGTCAATTAGAGAGACATTGCTGTACTCGAGAAACGCGTGGAGCGCTAAGGGTTAACTTCCTGAATGGCGACAAGCTGGAAATACGGCACCGGCTGCGGAGCGATCATTATACAAGAAAAGATAAATGGTCCCGAGCGGTGTCTAATCACGAAGGAATCTAGTAAAATCATCCTTTTCCCGGTTCCCTTGCCGCAACGTTTTGCTACCGCGTCACGGTTGCTCGCGAAGAAATTGTCTCGTTGTGAGAAAAAAAGCCGTGACACCTAGAATTACTAACGAAACGAAACTCCGCGTTCCAGAATCCTTTTCCGGAGGACGGAGACGAGGTGTCGAACCAGATGCGACAGGTGGAAGCCCTGAAGACTGCCCTGAGGACGCAGCCGCACAGTTTCGTGCTAAGGTTCATCGAACTGGACGGACTGAACACTCTGCTGCAAGTCCTCGGGACCATGGACGCGGGGACCGCGAACAGCAACCTGCACACCAGCGTGATAGGCTGCTTGAAGGCGTTGATGAACAACTCGGTGAGCAAAGTGGACGGCGTCCGGAAATCAACTTCTCCGGCGGCGGCGATTTTCATAAAAAAACTTCTTTAAAAACGACCGATCAAATTTTACAGAACGGAAGGGCACACGTCCTCGCGCACCCGACCGCGATCAACACGATATCACAGTCGCTGGCGACTGAGAATATCAAAACGAAGATCTCGGTGCTGGAGATCCTCGGGGCGGTCTGCCTGGTGCCGGGCGGCCATCGGAAGGTCCTCGAGGCGATGTTGCACTTCCAGCAGTATCATTCCGAACGGACGCGTTTCCAAAGTATTATCAACGACCTTGATAAGAATTTCGGCATCTACAAGGACAACCTGTCCCTGAAGACGGCGATCATGTCGTTCATAAACGCTGTGCTGAACTACGGCCCCGGCCAGGTCACCCTCGAGTTCAGGCTGCACCTTAGATACGAGCTGCTGATGCTCGGCATCCAGCCGATCATCGAGAAGCTGAGGAAGTATGAGAACGAGACCCTGGACAGGCATCTGGATTTTTTCGACATGGTCAGGAACGAGGACGAGAAGGAATTGGCGAGGAAGTTCGAGAAGGAGCACGTGGACACGAAGAGCGCCACCGCGATGTTCGACTTGCTGAGGAGGAAGCTGAGCCATACCGCTGCTTATCCGCATCTGCTGAGTCTTTTGGAGCATTGTCTTCTTTTGCCGCGTGAGTTTCCAGACGTTTTAGCGCCGTTTCATAGTAATGTTAAGGAGGGATAAAGGGAGGATAATAAATAAGAGGAATAATAGAATGGAATGTATAATAATAGAATAAAGGAAGATTGGGAGATATAATAATAGAATATAGAATATAATAGAATATAGAATAATAGAATAAAGGAAAATTGGGAGATATAATAATAAAATATATAATAATAGAATAAAGGAAGATTAGGAAGTATAATAATAGAATAAAGGAAGATGAGGAGGTATAATAATAGAATAAAGGAAGATTAGGAGAAATAATAGAATATATAATCATAATAGAATATATAATCTGTCTCTGATACACATCTAGATGTGTATAAGAGACAGCCTTTATTCTATTATTATATATTCTATTATGATTATATCTGTCTCTTATACACATCTAGATGTGTATCAGAGACAGATTATATATTCTATTATGATTATATATTCTATTATTTCTCCTAATCTTCCTTTATTCTATTATTATATATTCTATTATGATTATATCTGTCTCTTATACACATCTAGATGTGTATCAGAGACAGATTATATATTCTATTATGATTATATATTCTATTATTTCTCCTAATCTTCCTTTATTCTATTATTATATATTCTATTATGATTATATCTGTCTCTTATACACATCTAGATGTGTATCAGAGACAGATTATATATTCTATTATGATTATATATTCTATTATTTCTCCTAATCTTCCTTTATTCTATTATTATATATTCTATTATGATTATATCTGTCTCTTATACACATCTAGATGTGTATCAGAGACAGATTATATATTCTATTATGATTATATATTCTATTATTTCTCCTAATCTTCCTTTATTCTATTATTATATATTCTATTATGATTATATCTGTCTCTTATACACATCTAGATGTGTATCAGAGACAGATTATATATTCTATTATGATTATATATTCTATTATTTCTCCTAATCTTCCTTTATTCTATTATTATATATTCTATTATGATTATATCTGTCTCTTATACACATCTAGATGTGTATCAGAGACAGATTATATATTCTATTATGATTATATATTCTATTATTTCTCCTAATCTTCCTTTATTCTATTATTATATATTCTATTATGATTATATCTGTCTCTTATACACATCTAGATGTGTATCAGAGACAGATTATATATTCTATTATGATTATATATTCTATTATTTCTCCTAATCTTCCTTTATTCTATTATTATATATTCTATTATGATTATATCTGTCTCTTATACACATCTAGATGTGTATCAGAGACAGATTATATATTCTATTATGATTATATATTCTATTATTTCTCCTAATCTTCCTTTATTCTATTATTATATATTCTATTATGATTATATCTGTCTCTTATACACATCTAGATGTGTATCAGAGACAGATTATATATTCTATTATGATTATATATTCTATTATTTCTCCTAATCTTCCTTTATTCTATTATTATATATTCTATTATGATTATATCTGTCTCTTATACACATCTAGATGTGTATCAGAGACAGATTATATATTCTATTATGATTATATATTCTATTATTTCTCCTAATCTTCCTTTATTCTATTATTATATATTCTATTATGATTATATCTGTCTCTTATACACATCTAGATGTGTATCAGAGACAGATTATATATTCTATTATGATTATATATTCTATTATTTCTCCTAATCTTCCTTTATTCTATTATTATATATTCTATTATGATTATATCTGTCTCTTATACACATCTAGATGTGTATCAGAGACAGATTATATATTCTATTATGATTATATATTCTATTATTTCTCCTAATCTTCCTTTATTCTATTATTATATATTCTATTATGATTATATCTGTCTCTTATACACATCTAGATGTGTATCAGAGACAGATTATATATTCTATTATGATTATATATTCTATTATTTCTCCTAATCTTCCTTTATTCTATTATTATATATTCTATTATGATTATATCTGTCTCTTATACACATCTAGATGTGTATCAGAGACAGATTATATATTCTATTATGATTATATATTCTATTATTTCTCCTAATCTTCCTTTATTCTATTATTATATATTCTATTATGATTATATCTGTCTCTTATACACATCTAGATGTGTATCAGAGACAGATTATATATTCTATTATGATTATATATTCTATTATTTCTCCTAATCTTCCTTTATTCTATTATTATATATTCTATTATGATTATATCTGTCTCTTATACACATCTAGATGTGTATCAGAGACAGATTATATATTCTATTATGATTATATATTCTATTATTTCTCCTAATCTTCCTTTATTCTATTATTATATATTCTATTATGATTATATCTGTCTCTTATACACATCTAGATGTGTATCAGAGACAGATTATATATTCTATTATGATTATATATTCTATTATTTCTCCTAATCTTCCTTTATTCTATTATTATATATTCTATTATGATTATATCTGTCTCTTATACACATCTAGATGTGTATCAGAGACAGATTATATATTCTATTATGATTATATATTCTATTATTTCTCCTAATCTTCCTTTATTCTATTATTATATATTCTATTATGATTATATCTGTCTCTTATACACATCTAGATGTGTATCAGAGACAGATTATATATTCTATTATGATTATATATTCTATTATTTCTCCTAATCTTCCTTTATTCTATTATTATATATTCTATTATGATTATATCTGTCTCTTATACACATCTAGATGTGTATAAGAGACAGATATAATCATAATAGAATATATAATAATAGAATAAAGGAAGTTTAGGAAATATAATAATAGAATATAGGAAGATTAGGAAGTATAATAATAGAATAAAGGAAGATTAGGAGGTATAATAATAGAATAAAGGAAGATTGGGAGATATAATAATAGAATAAAGGAAGATTGGGAGATATAATAATAGAATATATAATAATAGAATAAAGGAAGATTGGGAAATATAATAATAGAACATATATTAATAGAATAAAGGAAAATTGGGAGATATAATAATAGAATATAAAGTAAGATTAGGAGATATTTTGGCTGAATATTTTGTCTGAAGCGGAAGATTGAAGACTGTCCATAATATTGTATGGACATTGTAATACATTGTAATGTATTGATCCATGATTCTAACGTATTGTTACAATCACGGTTAATTTATATTATGTTGATAAAATTGATCGCGCGAAAAATAGTGGATTGTCACGAACTTTTATTTCGTTTGCAGTCGACTACGGATCTCATCCTCAGCACTGGTTACTCTTCGATCGGATCGTCCAGCAGATAGTCCTGCAGTCCGAGGGCAATGCCACCGGCACCGTCAGGAATCCTGATGTTGCACCGATCGAGATCAACGTGAAGGAAATCGTTCATTTGCTGGCTAAGGAAGAGGAACTCGTCGCGGCCAGGAAAAAGGCCGAGGAGTTGGAGCGAGAGAACTCGGACATGTCTACAAGATTGGCTAAGAAGGAACAAGAGCTCGACTTGAGGACTCAGGAGAAAGTAATTTGAAACGCGCGAATCGACAAAATAAGACTGGCTTGTCACGGTTCTGTCTCTGTCCGATTGGTAGAACGAGTCGCGACTTCCGTGCCAGGGAAAATCTATTAAATAATACCAGCGGTGCTATTAACTTATATAATATGTACGGTTAAATTCTTCCTAATGTTTCTTCACGCTTGCAAACAAAAATGGACAATTTGGAAAGAGGAGATACGATTATTCGAGTCTTGAATGTCGTTTTTATAATTATTAACAATCGACGACTATAAAAATGAGCTGCGAGGCTCGAGCTCCTCTTCCCAAATTGTCTATTTTTTTTTAGAAGTTGAAGGAAAATTGCGGAGAATTACAGTATTATAAATTATTAAATTTCCGTACTAATTAATTATTAAATTACCGTTCTATAATCACCGCCCTAACAATGGAAATATCGATGGCATTACAGTGCAGACAATTTATATCTTGATACAATTATTGTTATAAAGCATAAATAATCTTAATGTTTTCAAATTAATTTTACAATTTTAATTTAAAATGAAAACTTATATACAATCTCAACATAATTTTGCGAGAAGGCTACACACCGTGCAAAAGTGTCGAACGTTAAGAATACACAAATATTTGTTATAAATGTTTCACAATTAGACAGAGACAGAAGTTAACAATATATGAGTTTTCATACTGATCACGTTATGGAGAATACGTCATTCGTAATGTTCTTTCGCAGGAAGACATGGAGGCCAGTTTGGCGAGGGTCAAGGAACGGCTTGAGAAGGAGACCTCGATGCACATTGAAACGAAACAGAGAATCTCTGAGCTGCAAGATAACGTGGAGGCGCTGTCCCGACAGATAAACAACGAGAAATCCGAGAGAAAGCGGCTCGAACAATTGGTGGCTTCCGGGAGTTTACCGGACGATGCGAAAGCGTCGATCAAACTCGTCGAGGACGAGGTCCTCGAGAAGGTTGAAGCGAAACCGATGCCGCCGCCGCCTCCCCCTCCACCTTTGGCGCCTCCGCCGCCTCCTTGTTTAATGCCTGCCGCGCCACCTCCTATGAAGGTGATAATAATTTAAATAATTTCCCACGCAGCAAATTGTTAACACAGTTAGTATAACAAGCGTCATTTTAATCAGTCACACAGATTTTCAGAAATCTAATTTTCAAGCGAAAATCAAATTTTCATCTCGGAGCTCTGCTACCTAATAGAAAGCATAATTATTCGCGAAAGCAAATCATTGCACTTACAACATACAAAATTGTCTAAGCTTTGAAAGTGTTCTCTGCTCGGTAATTCTATTTATAAGCCGATCTGCGACTCGACGAAGCTTGACCGATTGAAATTGCTACAGATGGAGATCATCAAGAACGTTCCCCAACCAAGCAACCCGTTGAAATCGTTCAACTGGTCGAAGATCCCCGAGCAGAAGCTGCAGGGAACAATATGGTCCGAGCTGGACGACACGAAGCTGTACAACGTGATGGATCTGGAATCGATCGACAAGATCTTCTGCGCTTATCAGAAGAACGGCGTGTCGACGGAGGGCTCGATCGAGGACCTGAGAACATTAGGGAAGAACAAGAAGACTATGTCCGTGATCGATTCGAGGAGGGCGCAGAACTGCACGATACTGCTGTCGAAACTGAAGATGTCCGACAACGAGATCACGAGAACGATTCTGTCCATGGACCAGCAGAATATTCTGCACATAGACATGGTCGAGCAGTTGCTCAAGTATATTCCGTCGTCCGAAGAGGCGGCCCTCTTGGACATTCATCAGAAAGACTTGCAAAGCAGGGCCGATTGTTTCTTGTACCAAATATCCAAGTACGTGGGTCCATTTGTTTGTTAACAGTAGCGAGACACAGTTTAGAGCGAGAAGTAGACAGCGATATAAATATTTCCGCGATCCAGGATTGTTTAAAATTCTGCTTATGCTACTGTATCTGCGGCAAACAGCTCTTCGGCAACGAACAGTAAACAGCTGGGCATAAAGATTTCCAATGTTATTTCTTTGTCGACCGCAAACTGAATCGTATCAACGCCCTCGATTTCCGTCTCGAGATAGCCACGCTCAACAAATTTTTATCGACCATCTGCAAACATTAGGCTGAAACGATGCAAGCATCGTAAACATCTCTCGCCTGTTTTACGTACTATTAACATCGAACTCGGATAAACGACGTTTGCAAACATTATACGCGGATCTGTTAACTCAGCTGGTCTGTTCAAAAATTGTTGTCGGATGGTTCGATGGCTCTAGCGTTGACAATTGCGAGTAGACTGCGGATTTGACAGATTTTAGTTGAATTTGCTATTAAGATTATTCTTGCGATTAACGCGGATTCTTGCAAACAAATATATCCGCAGTCTGGATTTACGTAGTCTCACAGGATATACACATTCTTGAGTGTTTGCATTAATGTTCCAGAGTACCGCATTACGAGCAAAGGCTGCGATCGTTGCACTACAAGAAGAAATTCGCAGCGAGCATCGCGGAATTGACGCCGAGAATGCGCGCGGTTCTCGAAGCTAGTCGACAGGTCGCCAGATCGCGGCGGCTGAGGAAGCTCCTAGAATTGGTGTTGGCTCTAGGGAATTATGTGAATCGCGGAAATGCTCGCGGCAACGCTTGCGGCTTCCGCCTGGCCTCTTTGAACCGTCTAGTCGACACAAAGTCCTCTTGCTCGAAAGGCACCACCCTGCTGCACTACTTGGTCCAGATCCTGGAGTCCAGATTCAGGGAGGTGTTGGACATCGAGGAGGACATGCCGCACGTACGAACCGCGGCTAGAGTCAGCATGGCTGACCTGCAGAAGGAAGTGGCTAACTTGAAGAACGGTCTGCAGGACGTTCAGAGAGAAATAGGTGGGTGAAAGTGAAAGGAACAATCCGTTTTACTTTTATTAAACCCTTGCCTTTTAGCAAGGTACTGCAGTCTCTCTAATTGACGCGATAGATTGTGCACAAAAATGGACAATTTGGGAAGAGGAGATGCGATTATTCGAGCCTTGCGGTTCGTTTTCATAGCTACGAATTGTCAAGAAATATAAAAACGAGCTGCGAGGCTCGAATAATTGCATATCTTCTTCCCAAATTGTCCATTTTTGTGCACAATCAGAGCGTCAGTTAGGGAGACTTTACTGTGTTTGTAAAGCAGAGTGATAAGTACAATCAATTTTCCCTAATTCGCGCTCAATTTGTAGACAAAAGTGGACAATTTTGGAAGAGAAGATACGATTTTTATAGTTGCCGATTGTCAACAATTATAACAACGAGGTGCAATGTTCGAATAATAATAATCTATAATAATTAATAATAATAATATTAATAATCCTCGAATATCCCAAATTGTCCATTTTTGTTTATAAGCTGAAGGAAAAGTTGGGAGTATTTACTGTATATATAACTATATAAAAGTCGATACTAAAAGTCACTATAAAAAGTCAACAATTATAAAAACGAGGCGCAAGGCTCGAATAATCACATCTCTTCCCAAATTGTCCATTTTTGTGCACAATCAGAGCGTCAGTTAAGGAGACTTTACTGTGCAATAATTTCTCCATAATTTGCGCTCAATTTCCACACAAAAATGGAAAATTTTGGAAGAGAAGATATGATTATTCGTGCCTCGCGGCTCGTTTTTATAATTGTGGACAATTTATAATTGCAAAAATAAACCGAAAGGCTCGAATAATCGCATCTCCTCTTCCCAAATTGTCCATTTTTGTGCAGAATCTGAGCGTCAGTTAGGGAGACATTACTGTAATTTCCCGCGAGAGGAAGGTAATTCTGATTTCATTGTGCCATAACGATGCTTTTAGAATTCCATCGTGGCCAGTCTCAGGTACTTCAGGGCGACATGTTCCTACCCGCGATGAGGGATTTCCAGGCACAAGCGACCTGCAGATTAGCCGAGGCAGAAGATCTGTTCCAGGACATGAAAACCAGGGTGAGAATCAATTGAGTCTGCGACATTGTGCTTGCACTTTTGCGTACAAGAATGATCCTGGAATAATCGTGAACCTACAATCACCTATAAAATTTCATTTGAGCAGTTCGACAGAGCAGTCAGACTGTTCGGCGAAGATTCGGCGGGCGTGCAGCCGGACGAGTTCTTCGGCATCTTCGAGAACTTCCTTCAGGCTCTGGCCGAGGCCCGACAGGACGTCGAGAACATGAGGAAGAAGATAGAGGAGGAGGAGCGCAGAGCCAAACAAGAACAGGAAGTAAATAT